AACTGGCTGTGAGAATCAGCTGTGTCTGCAGTGGGAAAACTTCTGTCCTCTAGGGAGGTGCTAATCTAGCCTTTGCCTGAGGCTATCTGGCAAATGGCTTTGTGCAGGGCTTGGGCGGGGTGGGTCGCACGTGATCAACAGAGCGGGTGGAGCGAGCAGTTATGGCTGCTCTCAGTCCCGTCCCCAGAGGCCCAGCAACCGCTGCAAACCTCAGAGAGAAAGGTGCCCTCACATTCCGAACGATGCCAGACAGTCCCGCTTCTCCCATTTGAGTCTGCATCCCTAGAGACTCACCCAGAACTGGAGCTCAGAATCTGAGACTCCCTCCCAATTGAAAACGACAACCACGCCCTCAGCTACCAGCCCACTCCGTGTGTATCTCCGCACCTTTGTATTTTCCGCACTGTGCCTCCTCTGAGTCTCGTATGCTGTTCTCTTTCCTTCTAGTTGAAGAATTTCCCCTCAGCCAGTCTTCCTGTGGTTCTGGGCGATGTCTGTTCCGTCTTTTAGTTGTATTTGTGAAGTAGTTGTTCGAGGCAGCTAACTCCGGTGTTTACCTATGCCGACATCTTGGTTTTTTTCCTCTCACTGCTGGCTCCCCAGCGAGCAGCGGGTCGAGCTGGGAACACGGTGCCTGGTCCCCTCGCGAGTGGCCGCAGGACACAAAGGGCTGAATCAAGAGTTCTTTATATATTCTCTATACAAGTCCCTGATCAGATTTGCAAATATTTTCTCCCAGTCTGTGGGAGAAATTTTCACTTTCTGGGTGGTATTCTTGGAAGCACCTGAGTTTTTAATTGTAATGAGTCCAATTTGTATGGTTTCTATTTTGTCACTTGAGCTTTTTGGTGAGGGAAGTAAGAGTTATAAGTAAAAGTTTTCTCATTTATTAGTAGAACTTCATTCCTATTATAAAAATATCATAAGCTTGTTGTAAAGTGATTTGTAATCAGTCAGTAAATTTAACAGTGGGGAAGTCACTTTTTGCTTAACTCTACTGATTCAGATATGTTTTATTTTGCCACTAGTTTGGAAATATTAAATACTAATAAATTAATCTACAAATTTGAATGTGATGATTTTAGTTCTTATACTAATTACTATATGAAAAAACTTTCTAAAAGAAAAACTTCCCACTTTTTTATATTTGTAACTTTCTATTATTCCTTATGCTAGTATAGAGCTTAAAAAAGAGCACTAATTTTTATATTAACAAATCATTTTGGATTTCCTATATTACTTTAGTTTTTATTATAAAATTAGAGGCCTGGTACATGAAATTTGTGCATGGGGGGGCGTGGTCCCTCAGCCTGGCCTGCACACTCTCCAATCCAAGACTCCTCAGGGGATGTCCGACTGCCGGTTTAGGCCCAATCCCTGTCGGACATCCCTCTCACAATTGGCAGTCAGACACCCCTCTCCTAACCAGCAGTCAGACATCCCTCTCACAATCTGGGACCACTGGCTCCTAACCTGTCACTTGCCTGCCTAACCACCTCTGCCTGCCTGCCTGAGCACCTCTAACCACCTCTGCCTACCTGCCTAATTGTCCCCTAACTGCTCCCCTGACAGCCTGATCACCCCCTAACTGCTCCCCTGGCAGCCTGATTGCCCCTAACCACCTCTGCCTCAGCCCCCACCACCATGGCTTTGTCCAGAAGATGTCTGGTCTAATTAGCATATTACTCTCTTATTGGTATAGATACATACTTATTCTAAAAATAAATGCTATGTTAATTTGAAAAGGAAAGAAGTCCAAACACCCCAGTCTACTAGACAGTGGTATTACTGTTAACTATCTGTTAACCATCTTTCCAGAACATTTTGTATGTGCAAATAAGTATACATAAACAAACATTCATGTAGTGTTTTTTCATACAAAATTTTTAAAATTGAGGGGGCAAGAGAATTCTAAAGATCTTCGTTTATTCATCACATTTTGGTCCTGCTATCTGATGAAACCATTTTGTGGTTTGCATGTATCAGAGAGCTTGCTTTCTGTCAATTGTGTAAGTTACATTGTCCTAAATTTTGATAGTGTAATGGATTTCTGAGTAGTCGTTCTGAATTTGAATTTATTTGTGGTGTTTAGGAATTGCTTTTGTCTGAAACAGAGACCCCTATTTTACCACCATATTTGCCTTCATCTCTGCCTCCCCCAGAAGAACTCTATGCTGTTCAAGTGAAGCACGTGGTCTCACCTAATGAGGTATGTAATTTAATTTACATGATTAGTTGTTGGTTAAAAACATAACATGCAATCTTGGTCTTAAACTCTAGGATTGTTCATGTTTCCATCTTACTGACTTTAAATAATTGAAACTTGGTGACCTCTAGTTTGCCCATCCTGTAATGTCTTGGTCAGACATTTGTTTACATTTAATAAGGCAAGTATTTCTTAAGCACTGGATAGTTTTCCCAGTGTTGCCATAGTTACATTTATATCAAGTATTTAGATTTTTAAACTGGACCTATTTCCACCTAAGAAATCTTAGACATCTCACTCCCCTGTCCTCTTCATTACATGAAGTCTAGACACTTTTCACACTGCTTTGTATTTTTCCATACCAGTGATCACCTTCTAATGCCCTCTATACTTTCTTACTTTTCCATACTAGAATGTCACTCCACAAAGACAGGGATTTTTGTCTGTTTTGGTCACCGGTGTGTCCCCCAAACCTAGAATACTGCATGATAAATAGTAGGCACTCAATAAATATGAAAACGTCCTTGGCCAACAAAAAAGCAAGCAATGACAGTGCAGTAGTACAGAGTCCCTTCAGCCAGTTTACACAGTAAACCTTTCCTTCAATGGCAAGGAAAGGATTTGCTCTATAGTTTATTCAGAGAGCATAGGGGTGTACAATTACTATTGGTTTTAATAATTTTTTTGGTATTATTTATTGCTGCATAACAGATTATCCCAAATTTAGGAGCTTAAAACAACACACAGGAGAGTCAGGAATCAGGAGCATCTTAATTCAGTACTAGCTCAGGATCTCTCAAGGTCACAAGATGTTGGGGTTAGGGAGGGCGTTGCAGTATTCACTCAAAAAGACTCACATGATGCTGCTTGGGGGACTCAGTACCTTGCCCTCTGGGCCTCTCTCTTGGCCTACGTGGCTGAAAGCCTCCCTGAGAGAGCAGTCAAGGACAGCACCATCAAGACAGAGGTATCATGTCTTCTATAATCTGATCTTGGAAGTCACATACCCTCTGTCATGTCCTTTTGGTCACAAAGTTCAGCTCTGGTATGATGTGGGAGAGGAACTTTGCAAGGGATCACTGGGGCCACCTTTGGAGATTATCTACTGCAGTGATTTCATCTGTAGAAATGAATACTAAAAGAAGTTTTCTCCTTCCCTTCTCCCCACTTAGGTGTACATTTGCCTTGATTCTGTAGAAAATTGTAATCTCTGTAACCAGCATAGTGACACAGATGACAGTGGAGTCAGCTGGGAATCTGAGTCTGAGAGCCTCAATGAAGCTCTGCGGAGGTTCAATACTAATGTGGAGACCTTCCCACCTCTGACAGACTTCAGAACAGGTAGCCCACACTTTCTTAGTACAATGGGATTCTTAGTTTTGTTTGAATGGGCTGGTGAGGTTGGTGATTTCTAATGTTACCACACTCCCTGGATGTGCTGATCTCTGAATCAAGATGCTGTAGATGACCTTCCCCATTTTCTAAGTGACCTAAGAGGCTAATACTCCCTCGGGCACTTTCATTTTCCAGAACTTGAGCTCATTGGAATTGCATGAAGATGTTTTGTCTAAGCTTAAGGTTTTGCCACTAGCTCAAATTGTGAGAGTTGTTATTCAGACCCAAATGGCAGTCATTTTCATTGCAAGCCACCTAAACTGGTGATGTTAGAGTGGGGGCCTGGGAGCTCAGATTGTGTCCTGTCCTCTCAGAGTATGTCAAACCCTGCTCTCTCTTGTAAAAAAACAAACAAAACAAAACATATTTTTATTAATTTCAGAGAGAGGAAGGGAAAGGGAGAGAGATAGAAACATCAATGATGAGAATCACTGATCGGCTGCCTCCTGCACGTCCTCCACTGGGGATCAAGCCCAGAATCCAGGCATGTGCCCTGATGGGGAATCGAACTGTGACCTCCTGGTTCATAGGTCGACGTTCAACCACTGAGCCATGCCATCTGGCTCTGCTCTCTTTTTTTCTTTTTAACTTATTCTTACCTGTATTCATTAAGTATATGTGATTCTCCTGTGAAGAATAGTACACTGCTTACTTGTGTCAACAGTTCCTGAGTGCTGTGTGGCATCTCTGCATTTCTGTCCATATGCGATATAGAGTTCTACTTACTCTGGGTGTTTTGTACACAAAGGAAAACATCTGCCTGATGTACCTGCGTTTACTCAATGAGATTTTCATCAGTTGTGACTCATATTTCGCTGATAAACAGCCCTTGGGATTCCCTCTGCCTGCAATGTTCTTCCCCAGAATGTGAGTTAGGTCTCTGCCTAACTCACCCTCTATTGCAAGTCTTTCCTGACTGCCTGTATTAGTGGCACTGCCAACCACCTTCCCTGCCCCATTATACTCCATGCCTTCTACTCTCCTTTGTTAAATAGACTCCTAGTACTGCAGTGACCAGCAATTAGGGCACCTTGCACAAATATCTGTGGAATGAAAGACTAAATTCATTATGATTTTTTTTTCTTGTTGTAAACTCAGATTTAAAGTCTGGAAGAAACAGTTCTTCCTCATTGTGTTTTTGTCTAAAGGGAAGTCACACAATCTGTGTGATGTGATGATTCATGGAGCTATACATATGTTTGTACATTCTTCTGTAGGCCCTTTATTCTTTACTAGAGGGCCGGTGCACAAAAATTTGTGCACTCTGGGGGCTAGGGGGCGTCCCTCAGCCTGGCCTGTGCCCTCTCGAAGTCTGGGACCCCTCAGGAGATAACAACCTGCTGGCTTAGGCCTGCTCCCAGATGGCAGAGGGCAGGCCCAATCCCTAGGTGCAGCCCCTGGTCGGGCTCAGAGCAGGGCCGATTGGGGAGTTGGGGTGCCGCCCCTTGTCATGCACAGAGCAGGGCAGATCGGGAGGTTGCAATGCCACCCTCAGTCACGCTCAGGGTAGGGCTGATTGGGGGGTTGGGGCACCGCCCCCTGTCACACTCAAGGCAGGGTCGATGGGGAGGTTGCGGCGCCACCCCATCACCCACAGAGCAGGGCCAATCTGGGGGTTGGGGCGCTGCCCCCTGTCACGCAAAGAGCACAGCCCATCAGGGGGGGTTGGGGCTCCTTACCCTGTCACGCACAGAGCAGGGTCGATCAGGGGGTTGGGGAGCTCCCCCGTATCAGGCCCAGAGCAGGGCTGATCAGGAGGTTGGGGCGCCTTCCCCTGTCATGAACAGAGCAGGGCGGATAGGGAGGTTGTGGCCCCGCCCCCTGTCACACACAGAGCCTCAGGGCGATCGGGGGGGCGGGGGGGGGGGGGGTTTGGGCACTGCCCTCTGTCACGCTGATCCCGGTGCCTGGAGGCCTCGTGGCTCCGCTGATCCCGGTGCTGGGAGGCATATTACCCTTTTACTATATAGGATAGAGGCCTAGTGCATGGGTGGGGCTGGCTGGGTTGCCCTGAAGGGGGTTCTGGATCAGGGGGGGGGTCCCCCCTGGGGTGCCTGGCCAGCCTGGGTGAGGGGATGATGGCTGTTTGCAGCTGGTCACACACCCTTCAGGGTGGGGGTCCCTACTGTGGTGCTTGGCCAGTCTGGGTGCGGGGCTGAGGGCTGAAGCTCCCAACTGCTCCTTTTTTTTCTTTGTTTTTTATTCTGGGCCAGCTTTAGCTCTGACTCCAGCTCTGAGGCCTCTGCTGCTGAAAGCAGGTATCTGGTTTGTTTAGGTTCTATAATTGACACGATGTATAACTCCAGCTCTGAGATCCCGGCTCGCTGAAAGCAGGTTTCTGGGGTTTTGTTTAGCTTCTATATTTGTTACAATGTTTCAAACTGCAGGCTCAGAGGCCGGCAAGGCAGGCGGGGGACATTGGTTTCCTCTATCACTGAAGCAAGCAAGCCTCATGTTAGTTTCAAGCTGCTGGGCTGCCAGCCGCCATCTTGGCTGGCAGTTAATTTGCATATCGCCCTGATTAGCCAATGGGAAGGGTAGCGGTCATATGCTAATTACCATGTTTCTCTTTTATTAGATAGGATTATGCACATATACCAGTTGATTTATAAGCAAGTGCCTATTAAAAATGTACATTTAAGTAAGGAATTTATGTTGAAGGAGTTGCTTTATAGATTTAAAATAGGACAACTAAATAGGGTTTTTTCAGTGATTTTTGAGAAGTAACTTTAACAATGTTTATGAATCTGGAAATGGTAATGGTTGGAAGGGACTGTTGACCAAGATTCAGTCAATTGTTTACTATACAGACAGCTCTATAGATGAGATTCTTACTGTTCTATTGCTAACATCTATATATTCAAATTACTTACAATTCTGATAAAAAAAATTTAAAAGCCTCAACATTAGAGGCATTTAAATACCACCTGGCCCCAACTACTTCCCTTTGTGGAAATTTTGTGGAAGATCTATTTATATAAAAACCCTGGGTGTAACATCACAACCGAGGCTCGACCAACCAGAAGGAAGTCAGTCCTGCAGGGGTCGTCTTGGAAATGGCTACACCCTACCCGAGCTGTTTCCCTCGAGGATGGCGAGGTTTCAGGCAGGAATCCGCCCTTGGAGCGTAGACACACTGAGTCCTGGGTCCTTTTAGCCACAGCTGCGCCCTCCCCAAGCTGTTTCCAGTAAGGGCGAGGTTTGGGGTAGGAACCGGCTTTCCGAACATGGACTCACTGAATCCTGGGTTGCGTTGCCAACGGCTGTGCCCTCCCTGAGCTGTTTCCCGGGAGGGTGAGGTTTGAGGCAGGAACTGGCCCTCGGAGTGTGGAGGCATATCTTCATAAAGTTTTAGTACGTTATATTAGAGGCCGTGGTATTACTGTTTTACCCACAGCGTCTACAGGAATTGCTGCAAATTTACTTCTCGGTGGGAGCGCCTTTCATTCCCAATATAAATTACCCATTCCACTAAATGAAACTTCAATTTCTAGACTCGATATAAATAGTGAAGTTGCTAAAACTATTAAAAAGGCCCAACTTCTCATTGTTGATGAATGCACCATGCCATCCAGTCATGCTATAAATGCCACAGACAGATTACTAAGAGAAATTTGAATGTTGTATTTGGTGGGAAAGTTCTTCTTGGAGGGGATTTTCGACAGTGTCTCAGTATTGTACTGCATGCTATGCAACCGGCCATTGTACAAACGAGTTTAAAGTACTGCAGTGTTTGGGGATGTTTCAGAAAGTTGTCTCTTACAACAAATATGAGATCAGAGGATTCTGCTTATAGTGAATGGTTAGTAAAACTTGGGGATGGCAAACTTGATAGCAGTTTTCATTTAGGCATGGATATTATTGAAATCCCCCATGAAATGATTTGTAATGGATCTATTATTGAAGCTACCTTTGAAAATAGTATATCTGTAGATATATTTAAAAATATATCTAAACATGTGATTCTTTGTCCAAAAAATGAGCACACTCATAAATTAAATATTGATTTGCCCCATCTGACACTGGCCTCCCATTTAAATTGATTCAATGACAGTTCCCGTGATGCCAGCATTTGTGATGACTATTAATAAATCACAAGGACAAACTCTAGACAGAGTAGGCATATTCCTACCTGAACCCGTTTTTGCACATGGTCAGTTATATGTTGCTTTCTCTCGAGTTCAAAGAGCATGTGACATTAAAGTAAAAGTTCTAAATACTTCAGCATAAGGGAAATTAATCTAGCACTCTGAAAGTGTTTTCACTCTTAATGTGGTATACAGGGAGATATTAGAATAACTTTAATCACTTTATCAGTCATTGTTTGCATCACTGTTTTTATATCATATCTTTGTTGTTTTATATCATGTTTTTGTTGTTTTCATATCATGTTTTTGTTGTTTTTATATCATGCCTCTGTTGTTGTTATATCCTTTTGTTACTGTTTATTAATTTATATATTATTTTCATATACATTTTACTAATTTCCTTTCATCTCTCAGACTTCTATTATAGAGAAGGGGCAAATAGCAATATTAAAATATTTCCGCTAATTAATTCCCTTTTAATGTGCATGAATTTTGTGCACTGGGCTACTAGTAATATGATAAAGAAAGAGAGGACTGGAAGTAGAGCAAGATAGGTACCCAGTGTATTCTGTCTGCTGTGAAGCACATACTATTATAGTCATTGTTCCTCAACTTTACTCAGGCCTGCATGCATTAGCACATTTTTTACTGAGCAAAGGTTTATACCAGGTACATGGTGGGAATGTATGAGAACTAGTGGGGAAGCAGAGAAGGAACATGTAAACAAATCCACTATGAGAAGAACAGCTCATATTAAAGCTGTGGCCTGATGCCATTGGGTCAGAGAAACCATGCTAGAAGTTGGCTTTATGAAGTCATGTTGGAGTGATTTTTGAAAGAACAGATGTTTATCATAAA